TTTGTCTTCAACTTGTATTTATATGGTTTTTATTACTTTTCCTTTGACTTACAGGTAGTTAACGCTTGAGTTGAATTGATCTGTAACTTCTCTTAGGTGCTGTGTTGGTTTTGTTGGTTTTGTTGGTTCTTGGTTTTTGTCTTTTTAGTTTGGGTTGGTCTTGTTTTAGATTGGTTAAGCCCTACCTTGATTCTGTTGCGGGTTTACTTTGGTCTAGGATTGGTCTAATTTCTAAATTTAATTTTGGTCTTGGTCATATTTCTCCTACATTTTAGGTTTGGTTTCTACAATTCTCTGATTTTCGACCTAGTCCTGTTTTTTAGTTCTCCAGTTGCATTCCTTTTTGGGGGATATTTCTTAGAAGAAATAAAAGATTTTGTCGTTGGAATCAAGTTTCAGCTCCCGTATCCCTATTCTTTTAGACTTCTTGCGACTCCTCCCTTTTGATCCTTTTGAAAGTTTTTTAGCGAGTTCCCCAAGTTTTTTATTTTCTTCAAGTCTCTTCTTTTTTTTATTCTCATCTGAAGTGTGCCATTTTTCCCCGTTACACTTGCAATGCCGATTTATTTGAAATTATTCCGTCATTTCTAACTTTCAACATTGAAACAGTATACCTAACACTGGCACCGCAAGACAGTGAACCGTGGGTTCCGTAATACACGTCTTTTTGGTTAAATGAATGACTGAGCATCGCGTCTTTTATTTATAAATCTCTCAATATTTGACGACGTAATGGGCCTCTCTCGATTGTCAAATAACGAGGCGTACGAATCTATTTCAACGTACATGCGATTCTTGTCTGTGTACCCAGGTTTAACGACGTATTCTATCCTGTTTAAATCATCGATATCGCGACTGGCTTTGCATTAAAAAGCGTTTATTGTGGAAGACTGTATGATAGGCTTGGTGGTAGCTTGTTTCTCGGCCTGTGTTTTAATGTGCTCGTAAGCCGCCAAATTTATATCGTCGAGTATACGCAACATTCGCTTATGTAGTTGATAACAGATTTGACGACCTATAATATTATTGGCAGTTTTATCTCGCGTGCCATATTTATACAGGGGATTTATCCCGTAACAAGTCGGGTCTGTCATCATAATTAGCAGGCGCTTTTCTTGGCCGTTGCGGTATAATAAAGGGGGAAAAACATTGGGTTGCGTAACTACCTTCTTTAATCACGGGATTTAAAATGGTTGATTTACTTGCATCAAAAGGACCGTATGCGACATTGGGATCGCTATTGTTGGCATTGAGACGCTCGTAGTCGTCTGAAACTATGTAAATTTGGGTTGACATGTTCTAGTTTTACAATACAGGTGATTATAATTTCTCATTTTTTCCCGAGTTAATCTGCCAGGTTAATTAAACTCCTGTAATCTTCGCGGAAGTCTTCGGGTAACGGTACTGTCGGGGTCTCGGTTATTTTTACTTCTACTTCTTCGCCGTGTTTAATTATTAAGCCAAGTTTCTCTGCTTCTTCATCCAAGTCAGATTCTGGCTCGGCATCGTCTGGTGTTCTTAGTCTTATCTTCTTGTACTTCTTGTAGCAACCATAGCCGCTGTCGCCTTCAGATTCAAATGATTCAAATACTGAGTACGATTCACCAGTTATATTGCGACAGTTGATGCAACAAAAACAACCGGTACATTGGTCACAATCAATACAGAGTTGACATTCGGTACAGTTGTCACAGCGCTCTCAGGCGAAAGAATCAAATCAACCGGTACATTCTTTACAATCGTCGCAGCTTTCACATTCGCGGGATTTTACGCAGTCGGTGCACAGTTCTGAATCATCGCATTGGTCGCAATACATACAATCAACGCAAGAGATGCAGTTTGTACAACGGTTCGTGCCGCCACACCCGATGAAAGATTCACAGTTGGAACAATCAAGAGATATTTCACAATTTGTGCATTGTTTACAATTGGTAGAATATGAGCAACCCTCGCTATTTTCACAATTTTCACAGTTGGTGCAATCTAGACAGTCGGTGCAATTGCTACAGTACTTGCAATCTACTAGGCATTCGGTACATCGGTCAATATGAATAGAATTTAAACAATTATTGGAATCACAAGCATCTATCACGTAGAGAGACTCGGTTGTGTTTTTGCCGAAGTGGCAATCGGTGTTTGGTGCTTGGTTTATTATCTCTATTTTCATGTCTATTTTATTATAGGTTTTTAAAAATTATTTCATTTTTTTCTCAAAGGTTTTTTAATTTAATCTCATTTTTTCTCGAAGCTTCAGGGGCAGAGGTAAGTTTTCCGAGAAGTACAGAAGTCCCGGGGAAGTCCCTTTTTTGGTCTGGGGAGTCACGAGTTCTGCTTCGGGAGTGCCTTTTAGTTTGGGAGGAGTGAAAAGGAGGGGGCTGCTCCAGAACTGTCTACTTGACAACTTGTAACAGGTGGTGAGACATCATTTAAATAATATCATGTATGGCTACAGAACAATTCTTTGAAAACTCTGCCATCTCAGACCACCTGTTTTCGAGGTGGTTTGTCAAGGCTATTATTGACAAATAATGTCATCATATCACTTTTACGATGTCGTCATTCCATGATAACGTATCTCAGGATGTTGACATCTTACCTCTACGATGTCGTCATCCCAAGAAATAGTATTGCAGGATCTCAACAAGTTGGATGGCACTTCCAGAGCTCCATACCCAAGAAACAATAAGTCAGGATGTCAACATGTCCGATGGCACTTCCAGAGCTCCTGACTGGATGTCTCTGGATGACGACATCCTGTGATAATGATATCACATGAGGTCTCCATCCAACTTTTAGGATGTCGTCATCCTATGATAAATTATTTGAGGATGTCATCATCCAACTTTCACGATGTCGTCATCCCGTGAAAAATTATCTCAGGATGTCGACATGTTGCCCTTATTATGTTCTCATCCAGAGAAAAAGTATGTCAGGATCTCAACAAGTCGGATGGCACTTCCAGAGCTCCACAGTTATTCATTAATTGGTACGGGCTTTCTATTAACAGTTGTCAATTTTTCCAATGTCTATGGGCAGGATGTCAGAGGAGGATTGTCTCACAGACCCGAAGTTGCCTGAAGTTATCAACAACAAACATCCTTCGTGAATATTTTCCTTAAATACATATATATCTAAAAAGACTCTTGATAGCTGTTACGAAGGTTTTTTTAAGGAACACGGCTGTTCTCTATATAAGCCTGTTTTACTTTCAGCAATATTTTGTCATCATATCTCAGTCACTGGAGAGACTCGATTACACTGATAGCGATCGCAAGCTGGAGAAAGTTCATTGAATCATTGGCGAGAAAATGTATTTTATATTTTTCTCATCGGTCCTCTGTTCTACTTAATTTGTCCACTCGTTGTGTTCGCTATCTTGCGTATCATCAATCATTCGGAGTGGTTTGCGTTTCCTTTTAAAAGTAATCAACTTTTCGTTCATTCCATTTTTTTTCAGATAATGACTTTCTGAAAAGCATGTCTTGTGTAAGTTCAATTAGTTTTCACTGTAGATGTCGATATGATCAATCATTACGTATTGAGCTCATTTTGAGAACACGAAGAGTCATTGTTTCGTTATGAGTGCCTTGTTTAGGCTTACTGGTGACTTTTAAATTGTCCTTGCTGTCGTTTACACATGTCAATGCACAAATCGATTACTTTTTCATACCACTACAAGTTTTCATTACACACAGACTCAGTTTGAAATGTGAGTTTCAACTTCTGGGAGAAAGTGTGCAGAAAATATATCCTCTTTTCAATCAGAAAATTGTTAATTCTCATTTTATTTTAAAAAAAAGTCTTTTCATCTTTTTGTTCGGTGCGTCAGTACCATTTGCGATGTGTGAAACATTATGGCTGTCTGTATTTTTAATGAATATGGTTTTCGTAGTTGGGTTTGAAACCAGAATATTTACTTTGTAGTGGGTGTAGTTTTATGGTACATAGTGAGCATGATGTCGCACCGGGGAACAAGTATTGCTATATTACAAGAGCAACTGAAGACAGGTAACGTTATTATTATTATTATTATTAATTTTTGACCGTGTCAAGGGTCGTGAACAAGACCTCAAGGTCCTTCTAAAATCACTCCCCGGATGAAATGATAAAAGATAAAATAACCATTGGATACCAATGTTCGCTTACTTGCCTGTAGTGCCCCAGACCCCCTTCAAAAGATCCCAAAAAAGTTCCTAAGGGAATGGGACAGACGATGACAACGAACTTTTCTTGGTTCTGTGTATACTTTCTGTGTATAAGGAGACAAGTGAACAGTTATCTGGACGCATCACCTATCGGACGAGTGGTCTGGGACATTTAACAGCGTACAGATGCATGGCTGCCCCAGATCTTCTTTTGCGGGGATCATGAATGTGGATTTATTCTCCGTAATGTCGAAACTGGCAAGTATTAAGTAATTTCACCCACTACATAAAATGACAAACTATTTGCCACACTGTTTACCATCAACTGCCGGGATGCGGCCAGCTTAACCCGCGAGCTGATAAAGGTAAAGGACATGCAGGAACATTTACGGCATCAACGACCGACAATGAATGGATGGTGACGCTGACCAGTGCGGTGTACGTGAATAAAATGCCACAATTTTGCATTGACACCCCGCCTCATGACATGGCTGACTTTATCAAGAATGATGGGACGCGCATAATCTCACCCACAACCCCTACACGTGGCAGAGGTCTGGATTTGATAGTGGTATCTAACCAAAATAAAGTGTTCTCTTCTCGCAACATCTCAATTGGGTTTAGTGACCATAATATTGTGTATATGGTCTGCAAAGCCCGTGAACCAACAATTAGAAAATCGCGGACTCTCCGCAAATTTGATGTTGATCATTTTAACTACTATCTCAGAAAAGTCAATTGGGAAATGATATGTCGACTAAATAACTCTGATATGTATGGGCTGCTTTTAAACAAGTTCATTGAAATTGCGGATCAGCATGCCCCTGGATGGAAATTCTATCAAGGGCAATTTACCTTCACTGTTCAAACTGGAAATTCTTTGTCCAAACACTATGATTTCTGTAAAAGAGTTACCCAGAAGAGTGGTACATCTTGGGATTGGGAATTATACCGTACCAATTAAACCAGACCACTAATGCAATCAAATATGCTTAGAAACCATGTTACTCAAATATCATTCAGAATAATAAGAGTGATGACGAACAGTTGTGGAAGATAATTAAATCTATTCTTCCATCAAAAGACCACGAATGTGTCAGGGAAATTAAAGTGAACGGCACCTGCATTAAGGAGCCACAACCGAGTTCAAATATCTTGGTGTGTGATTTGACCAGTATCTTAGGTGGGGTACTCAAAGAACTGTTACACTGTCTGAAAGACTTGGAGTGATGAAACGATAGAGTTGGTATGTGGACCAGTATACCAGTTATACTTCATACAATACTCTCATTCCGCCTCACAGTGACTATTGTTGTACAGTCTGTGCTCAAGCTGCCAATAATATGTAAATCGAATTCAGGTTTTCCAAAACCGCTCGTCAGTTTAAAAAGCAAACCAAGGCACACATCTTAAATTCAGATAATTTGAATTATTTGCCAAACTATGTCGTCGAACCAATTAATCATATCATCTTATCTTATTACTAATAGTGTGTGATCCGAACACTGTGTTGTAAAGGTCTGCCAATGGGCTCATTTTTATGTATATTTGTTTATAGACTTTTGTATTTTAAGTTTGATTTATTAAGTTTTAGTCTTTCCCGTATTTATGTTCTATGTAACTTCACTGTGAAATGTTTTTTGCTTTGCTCTTTATGTATAATGGTTTTTATAATAATTTAAATTTTTACTAATTGTATTTAAATTGAGGGCCTCTTTAGAAAACAGTGATGTGCACTGATGGACCTTAACCCCATTAAAAACTACTTAAATAAAATAAAAGAATGGCTTGGTTGCTCATTTGCCGAAATTGATCAGGAAACGCTGCTCACTGTTGTAGAAATCAAAAACATTTACATGTTTGATAACTCCTTTCGATGCACTCATACTTTATTTAATGTCGGTGGTAGTCTTTGAGGTCAACATCATTGGAACAAGGAACCCCTTTTCTTGATAAATGCACAAACACAGGAACTGATCAACTGAAACCATGTGAAACAAAACATGAAAGTAAAGCGGAATCTCCATTTTATTGCAGGTTTAAAGTCAAATTTTTGTTACTAAAAGTACAGTTGTTAATGAATCTGTCCATCACTGCGACGGCTTAAAGTTTGGCAGTGTCTGCCATCTTACCCTTATTAGCCTAGATTAAGTATTTACTCACACACCTACTATCATCCATAATCTTGGTCTTTCCAGTGTACATGTACTGTACAAATATTTAGATTCACTGATATTAGCAGGTAGCTTAACACTCATAAGTAAAAAAAAGAACTCTCTTGATTTCAGAGAGTAACATACAATTTTACTATATGTACAAGATACGGCAAAATGAAAGTCATTCATTTAAAATGACCGAGTAAATATATTTTTAAATTCACAGATAATTTTTTAACAAAACAGATACAAAGGACATACCATTCACCAACCGTTCATTAAAAATGCATGTGCCTTTAATTTGACAAACCTTTTTATAAATGCTGTTTACAGTATGTTGTAAAACTCTGATCTCTAATTTTAGTCAAATAAGTAGACTTCTCTTTAGGAGAGTTGTGGTCGAGTCCACCCCAAATCACTATACTGCTTTCAAATCCATTACAAAGTCAACCAGTCTCAAGCCAAGCCACATTTCCAATAAGCATTCCTCTATCATTATTCATCCAATGTTACTTGAGACCAGACCTGTAATACTGCCTTGAAATTGACCTGTTGCTTGATTTGTGACAGACTTGGGAAGACTTGTGATGGACAAAACAAAACTGTGGAACTAACTACCAAGCCTGCAATATGCCCACCACCCACCCATCCACTCCACTCTACCCCTACAAAAAATTCTGTATCTTCATGAATGGGTAAAACCAATATCTACTAGTTCGAGGTTGGCAAACTCAATGTCCAGAAAAAATTACCATCTTATGACCTTATCACTTTGTGCTACTGTCAACTTCGTCTTCTGGATGTGGCTGTGAATCATCACATGAATGCATCCCACCTGATGAGATTTAAAAAAATCTTATGGTAAAATACATGTAATCTGTAAAACTCCCTGAAAAGATGTCACCCACAAGTATGCACTAGTAAGCAGAGGGTCATGAGTTCAAGTCCCACGCAAGTAACTTGGACAAGCACTGAATATACAGTGTTATGAATATACATCGGTGTTAGGGCAAAACCTGTAATTAAAATTTTCAAAAATGGTTAGAACTTTTAAACATGTACAGTATATGTACACGTTTTTTCAGTGAATGCATACTGAACAGGTAGTACATGTTCAAGTATCTATGGTATGTGGGGCACATTTGTGAAACACAGAAAACATGAGCATAAAAGTTCATACATCATCGCAGCCATCATCATTTTCCTGTGTTCTCTTTGGGGAAAGAGAAGGAAGAGAAAAGATTATTTGCTGTGAGCTTGTGGAAAAGTTGAAAAACAATGGATCATCCTCAGAGAAGCCTACAGGAATGATAGTGACAAGATCGGCAAACTTCATTGTTTTCTTGCTGTTGACAAGATGAAATCTGTAAGCGTTTAAGCTGAAGCATACAATCATACTACTTGTGAAGCATAGTGCAGTAAAAGGTTATTGATTACAAAATAGTTTTGTCCTTAATGAAGAATGAAAACTTTTCATCAATCCTTGTACGATTTAGACTACATGTATGTATGATGAATTCTTGTCTCGACCATGCCTACTTCAACCTTGATAGGCTATGGTCATGAACATAATCATCTGAAGACATTCTTCCTTACATTTACAAGAAGGAGCTGTTCATGCTTCAAACTGCCATGACTCAAGGTAAAAATGTCGCAAACAACATGTTTGGTAACAAATTGCACACCAATGAAAACACAACAAAACTACCAATATATGCTTTGATGAAGAGGGCGCTGTACAACACTGCTGATGGGGATAAAAAGTACAGAAAATCAGAAAGGCAGTGCTTTATACCAATGTTGTTTCCCAGTCTCTGGACCTTGGTCCTTCAGGGGTTGATCTTGCATGAATGGAACACAGGGAATTCTATGTTCAGTCTGTTGCATAAGAGTATTCCAAGATCGAATATGAAACATTTCTCACATTTTCTGCTTGTGTCAGACTTCTTGTTTCATATAAGCGACGTTAGTCACATTACAGTTTCCTATTTCTTGATACAGATCTTTGCATTAAATTAAACTCTGCAATGTCTTTTGGTCACAAGGACTGGATAGTAGAGGGCAGATGAGAGAGTGCTCCATGGTGGTCTGCTTCTCCACAGTCACAGGAGGTTGGTCCAGTCTTGTAATCCCATCTGATCAGAGCAACCCTGGATCATCCAGTTCTTGTTCTCAGACAGTTCAGAGTTTTCCACTGGGCCCATTCTGCGTCTGAGGCAGCAGGGAGTTTTTCAGCAGGTGGAATTCCCATGTCAACTGGAGGTGGTTCATTCTTGGAGTTCTTCCATCCAGAGCTGGAGTCTGGTTTCTTTCCGGAATTTTGTCAGGGCCTGGAATATGGCTGAGGAAGCTTCATCCCGACTTTAGTCATTGTGTGGAAGGTTGAAGTCCAGGGAGGAGGTGGCGTTTGTCTTTTGTGGCATATATCATCTCAATGTGAGACACTGCCTGATACCGGCAGAGGCAATACCAGCAAGGAGGGGTAGGCTGTTTTTGTTGGTGGGTTTCAGGGATCCAGTGATTAAACAGCAGGAGCTGGGTCAAATTTCTTGGCACGGGCTGATCTTTCCCATACAGGACAGGCAAGTTTTGTAGAGGAACAGCACAGGGCTAGGGAGGTTGTTCTTAAGGTGGCTGCTGTGGCTCCCCATTTTGAGTTGGTCAGTGTCTTTGTCACTTGTGACAGTAATTGGCATAGTTTTGATACACACCTGTACTACTGATGAGTTTGGCACCTACCCGTCAGTGCTTGTACTGCAATACTCGCCATTACATTGACTCCTCAACTTGCATCAATAGCCTACACAGCCATTATTGCACCCATGGCAAGTACACCTTCACTATGACAAACTTTGTTTACTGCATCACTTGCAAAAGATGTGACACAATTTACGTCTCAGAAACACAGCTATGCCTCACCATCAGATTTACCAAACATCTGCACAGTGTCAGAAAATAGCAACCATTATCTTCAGCACAACACTTCGACACACATCTCACACTTGTGATGACATGCAGGTGTGCCTCGCAGCTAGGACACCAACACAAAGAACATGAGCAGCATTTCATATTCAATCTCCCATTCGTGCAGAATAAAAGGACCAAGGTCTGAAAGCTTGGGAGCTACTGTGAGGAGCATCGCCTTGCTAATTTTCTGTACTATTTACCAAAACATGGTGATACTTACCTTGATGATATGTATTGTCTTGTGAATGGCCAACCGTGACAGGGCCCCTGGGATTGTTGACAACAATGGTTGAAGAAGCAAGAGAAGTAACTGCCAATGAGTCAGTTTGCACAGGGCCACCCATTTGTTGTTGATCTCCAAATTGAACTTGGTTCCTTGCATATTGCTCAACTTCTGTAAGCCATCAAAAGATGATGTAAAATATCATTTGCTTTCCCCAGCCTACTTTTTGTAAGATGCCATATTTTTAAAATGTATTTACGTTTTCAAGCAGAAATTTAAGGACTCCGATTCTTTTTCACTAATGGAGCATTATTTATAAATAAAACATCTTTCAGCATAAATTTCTCATATTCTCTGATTCCCTTATAATTGACATTTGCAGCACAAGTATAAATCCACATGCATTCAGCATCTAACCTCGTAACATCAAACATTTGAGCAACAGAATTCAGAATAAAGTTGACAGGTTTCAAGAACAGGGACATATATTCCAAAGGCCATTTTGCACTGCACTTTTACGACCAAGATATTACTTAACAGCATTTAACTTCAGTATTATACTGATGTCATGTTTCTTGGTCAGGTAAAAAGTAGGATTACCTTCTTTAGACACTTTATATGGAAATTGGCCCCAAGAAAGAAAATTAAGTTAACGGCACGTCTACATGTACATACCTCTTGCCAAATTATTAAGACCAACAGTGTCTTCTCTGAGGGCAGTCAACAATCTTGCCAGAATGTTAGGATTCTCGCCATTTCTTGAGACAAATTCACTGAGGACTTCCGCGTTTTGACCAAAGAGATCATGTGGGTGCCGCACCTTGATCGCTTGTATCTCAGTATTTTCCAAACCCAACTCTAAAGCTAAGGGTAATAACTTGTTGCCAATCTTCCTTGCTATTCTGCCACAGCTGACATTATTCAGAACCTTTGGCACAGTACCTACACGTACAGGTAGGATTGAGAGAAACGGACAAAATCTAAACCTATAAAAATAACAGCTGAATCATTTCAAACTCATTGGCAAGTAGAAACATCTGACATGTTTAACACATTGTATTGTTAACTTTGCTGCAAGAGAGTCACTAAAATCTTCATCCACATGGGTATTTAACTTGTGAAGAACAAACAGGAAACATGAAGAAATAAAAACAGCACTAAGCTTACCTGGCATTATTGATGTTAGGACGTATAAAACTCACCAGCTGGGCTCAACATACATGTACATGTACGTGCATCTGTGTCTGTTGTATGGAAAAACACAAAATTTCAAATTATTCTACAAACTTGTAATGGAATATGACACATGGGTTTATCAACCTAGCTTGGACCATGGAGTATTTTCAAATTACCATCACTCTTCCTAGGTACTGTATCTGTGTTGCATATAAGTGAGTTGTTCTTCAAGTTCCAGTAGAATGGACTTTATCAATGATTCCTCATTTATGGGTTTTACCTCAAATCAAATAAATGGCTAGAGCTACATCACAGTACCTTGACCAAGTCAAAAGTGGGTGTGTCCCATCAGTATATGGGCATCTCATGGGGGGCAAGTGGATCATGTGAAAAGTGAAAAACGGAAGAAAAACGCGAAAGAAATGAAACAAAAGAGATGAAAGGAATAAAAATCACTAATGTACTTGAAAAGCACTCAAATTGACCCCTTCCAGCCGTAAATTGTCTAATTCCCTCCCCCAAATTCCCCCCCCCCCTGAAAAAGTACTTTGTCCCCTTCTGGAAAAATCTTGGGGACACTATGCACCAGAAACTTGTTATAATATCATGCGAGTGGATCAACAAGATGCTCTAACAAAACCGCGCCAGCCTAAGTTGAACCATCACCCACTGTAGCTACATGTAGCTTCATATGTACACGTACGAGCAAAACTGCCACGTGTACTGAAGGCAACATGCAGGCAGGCTTGTTTTGGATTAAACCTCCTGATAAAGGCCTACTGTACATGTAATGCCAGTGTTATACCAACATTAAAACTGTTGTCCAAACTAACTATACCCCTAAGACGAGTCTAACTGCAGTGCTACTGCAGCTGGCCTTTCAGCACGTGCACATACATAAGAAGCAAGGAAGCTCCAAGGAGGCTGCCAACCATTTGCACATGATACAGGACTCGGAGTACTATCATCCCTTTTTATCGCCCCCCTAAAAATTAAAAAATTTCTTGTGTTATTTTAATTGATTCGAACATTTACATATAGATACAGAAGTTTACAGAGGTCTTTCCTTTTTCTGATTCGATCTGGAGGATCCGTTTTTAAAGGGAAAAATGTCCAAAACGTAAATGGTCAAATTCTCATCTCATTTTCTCTCTCATCAAATTCTCTCACCTGACTATTATTATTAAAGATTTGTCAGGATCATGACGGTAAGAATTTCCGAGTCAAAAAACAAAGAAAGAAAGAAAAACAGATACTGTGCCTGTAGGCTACCCGACAAGCTATCGCTTAGTTGAAACATGCAGGAAGGATGGTTAAAATGTCATAGCCTAAAAACACGGACTGTTTTTAAACCCGGAAATGTAGTTTAGTATAGTAGTGGTAGTAGTACTAGTAAAAAGTAGTAGTCGTATCTTACATATATCTGTAAAGTGTAACAATGTTAGGCAGTTCCTGGCCAAAAGTTGCCAGAGATGTCAAACATCTCGAACCGTGGCATTTTTCATAACTTTTATGTAGTTCAAAGCAAATATCGTGTAGCGCCGCGCTATAGATCTTTGATTCAAAGCTATAATCACCTGTTTTGCTTCCTCCGTACTACACAGGATATCCACGTGACAAGCATTTCTCGTCAACGAGTCCTGGGTTAGTTGCCTCGGATATCCGATCGTCTGGTTAACGCAACCACTAAAACCGGCCACGCAGCGTTTGCTGCCCTCTGTTGGTCTGCGTCGTCTAAGATTATAACCCCAAAATTGCACTCCGTGCATGCGTCAGGCAGTGTGGTATGGTATGGGACGCCCTTTATAACTTTATTAGTACAAAAAAATATATAAAAGAATAATATAGATGACAAAAACTAATATATATTGGACTAAATAAAATAAATATAAAACGAATCAAATATTTAAAGGACGAAAGAAATATATCTAGAATGAAACTAATACATTTTCAGGATGTATTTTTTGCGTTGGGGAGATGTCAATTTTATATAACAGGGTTTGCCCTGACATAAAGTATGAAACCAATCTATACTAAGGTTTGCCATATGCACACAAAAATGTGGCGGATATCAAAGAAATTAAAGAAAAGTGCTCAAACACATTATTTCTAAAATTTGGCCACTTAAAAATACTGAGGATTTTAGGGAAGAAGGTTTAGCTCTGCTATTCGAGACTCATTTCTTCATGCATTGTCCAGTAAAGACCATATTTCACCATATCTATAAAAAGTATAAGTTGCATTTTCCATTTAGAGCTTACTATTTGGCTGGAAACAAAGAGTCCATACTTAAATGTGATTACAAATTCAACACAAACAAAAGAAGGCGGCCAAAATTTGGATGAAAAGAAACGGACAGGGAAGCGATAACTGAATGGTCTTTCATTTCCATACTGTTGATAGATTTAAGATCTTAAGGAAAGCTCAGGTATCTCCGATGAGCCAAATAATTCAGACTTTTAAAGGATAGGAATTTTATGCAAAAACAACATCGAAGAAGTTGCATGTTGAAAAGGGTATCTGCTTAACATTCAAACCATTTATTCAACTAACATTTCATTAGATCATTTGTATACATTTCAATAATGTCAGCCGCTTCACTTATTATACTTGTTACAAAATTACGTATTAACGCCATTCAACTTAGACTACATAATGTGGGCAATACATAAAAATTGCCATTCGAGCCAAATCTGGGCAAGATAACTTCCTCCAAAAAGTACTTTAATCCCAAACCTCAAGAGAACAGCTATGGCCTTTACCTTTGCATATCATTCTGGGATGCAAGTAAAAAGAATGTGTCAACATAAATATAGAATGGGGTCGAAGTCACCAATCACAATACATCAAATACAAAAGTGACAAGTCCTGTATAAGCTTCGATTTATAAGTGTGGTAAAGCACGCAGGAAAACTTCTATAAAATGTTAGTGTTCAGCTTCAAGACGCTTTTCCCAACGTAAACGGCTAAAAAATCACACACTGTCCATGTGTCATGTGGCTTAAAATATTTCCGCATGAGTGTTACTATTCCATTTTATCATCAAGTGCATGATGAAGTGATCTATACTAAGTAAGAGTGCTATTGACTCCTGTAGCTATTGTTTCGTAGAGGTGTCCTTTCCAGTAACCTGGCATGATGAAAATGTTTCTCAACCAAATTACATCCTCATTGGTCTGAGCCCTACATACCATGCACCACGGATTCACTACGATATTTGGTGAATTTGAAGAGGGTTACTTCAATAAAATACACTATTTCATGATTACATCCCAACGTGCAACCGCGGCTCGGTACCCAGCCAAGTCTTGGGTCTGTGTATAATGTGGTGACAGCTGGAGTGGTTTACAGTAAGTTGTGCAAAGCTCCCACACTCATGAATGAATGAAAGAAATGAAGGATAACAGCATGTGTACGAGTCATCAACATCAGATTTTGTAAGCCATCATTGTCCTTTCATTCTGAGTCAGAGTCTCAGTTTGCTTTAAACTGACAAACAAATAATGTATCAATAATTCATTTACAAATGTTAACAGAATCACGGTCAATCTTTTCTGAATCACCTCCTCCAGTCTGGCAAACATCTTCGTTCATCCAGCACTGCTACATAAGCACAGATAGTGGCATAAATTATTTACATGTTCTTGTCCTAAACTCTACAACAACCTCAATTAACTATGCATTATAACGTTTTCTTATTTCAGATCTCCAATGAATAATGGTTTCTTCCTTTAGGTTTACGTAAATGATTAAGGAACTACATGTACCACCACATATTTTAGACAGTTTTAACTGTAGATCAATCTGTGCAACAATTCATTTAATAGTTTAGTGATCAATATTCAAATAAATATGCTTAGTTATATTTATCTAGCTGTTACAAATTTTTCAAAATGCTCTTACAGACAGACGCAACAGACCAAAATCATTTCTGCATCCTATTCACAACATAAAACAACTGAAAACTCACTTTAATAAAAAAACACCTGTAACAGCATGGGACATCTTTTTAGTTTGTTTTCAAGTTTCAGAAATTACCTCAATCCTTTAAACAGAATAAGGGTACATGACAAAAGTATCTCACTTTCTTAATGTTAAATATATTCAGCCTAAAAGACAGTCCGAGGAAGATATGACAATGTGTTATGTAATACAAAATATTTGCTACAAATGAGTGTCACAATGTTTAAAATTGACAAAATAATAACATAGCACTACATCAGCCTAATGACAGGTTATATATTTGTGTTAGATATGTGTATCTCACAACTGGCAATACAAATTCACCTTTCCATCTCGTCAGCTTTGTGCCAGAAAAGCTTGTTAGTGACACTGTGAGCAAATGTCACCTACAGATAAAAATAAGTAGGAGTCAATTTACACCAAGGGATGTCCAGTAAAAGCTGATTACTTATAGCACAAGGAATTGTACCCTGTATCATACAAAATGCCTTGACAGTTTTTCTGAATAATATGATGACAGATAAAACTTTAAAGTATCCCTATTTCAAAGTTTAAGCGAGGTTTCCTAATTTTTGGCTGCAATCAAGACTGATTTATACATCCACCACAATTCGGTCTACCTGGCTGTGCCATCAAAAGGACATATTTCCCTTCTTTTCATTGATCATGGAAGGGAATCATCCAAAGGCTGTAGATATTTGCTAGGCACACACCTAGTAACTGTTTTTTAGACTGGTTCTGTGCCAATACAGCCTCTGTGACTTTGTATTCCCAAGGTTGGAATCAGACCAGTTTACAATTCCTGACTTTTTCCTTTTGAAAAACTCCCTCCTAAGCCATAAACAAAAAAAGAACATAGCCTACATTGTAAATGTCTGTGCGAGTGTCCATAGGCGGCCATGTAGAATGGCTGCTGAGCATGTACACAACACCAATAACTCAGTAGAGTGGAACACTTTGCATAATAATCGCAACAAAGCCGGGAGATTTGACCTAAAAAAAACAAACAACACTGACAAATATATGCAGATAGACCCTTACATTTGTTACTTAACTCTCACAAATCTTTGATAAATATCTTGCTAGCATTGATTGTTTTCAAAACTGCTTGCCTAACATTTTGTTTCCAACTTCGGGCACATATGCGCATCTTCAGTGCTACTGTACTAGAATGG